CCGCAGCTGCCCGCGCCGCCGGACCCACCAGCCCCCGGCCGTCCTGCCGGAGCGCCTCCAGCACCTCGAACGGCACGTCGGCCACCTGGGGCACTCGGGGGTGGTGGGAGGTGGTGAGGAGGGTCAGGGGGACCACCGGGTGAAAAACACACGGGGGTCCGGAACTAGTGCGTAAGTCGTACATATCGTTGTACGGCGCAGGGGATGAATATCCCTGGGCCTCACTACAGCTGGGGAGGGAGCTCACTGCTGCTAAGCATGCTTGCGTGAAGAAATGTGGATTAACACGCGTGGGGGTGATGTCCCGCCCGAAGTTACGTCATCCCGGTTGAACGCATGATGTTACTCTATGCAGGGCAGCAGGAAGCAGGGGCAAAAAAGGCGCAGATGGCAAATGACCAGATGGGATTCTGTGCTCAACGTCCCAGATGAGGCCACCGCACAGAAAACCCCCAGACGCCCGACCTGCTCTTCAAGAGTCCGGTCGTCGTCGTCACTGTGATCTCCTTCCCCTGTGCTATCATCGCTGTCGTCCTCTTCCTCGTCCTCGCCAGTCTCATCCTCTTCGTCGCCTTGCCTGCCGCCGCCGATGTCGACCTCCTCAGGGCCGCTATCATCGTTGGTTGCGTCACTTCCGTCATCATCCATTCCGGCTTTAAATCGCTTTAATGCTCGTTGTTCATCTTTCGTGAGCTGCTCTGGGGAATCGTCATCGCTGCTAGGTTCCTCACGGTTTTTTGCAGGGGCTGGTCGTTTCCGAAAAGGCTGGTGATGTTTGGCAGCAGGTCGAGGCATATCAAGCTATCAATAGTGTAACAGGCGATAGAGCCGCACAAACAAAGACCTAAAAGTTTAAGGATGGTGAACAGTAAGGGCAAACGTTGTGTGAAAGTTGGTTATAAATTGATCTTGGGAATGCGAGCAATGCGAGGTAAACTATGAAAGTATGATTGGCGGACAACCGAAGTTTCGTTCCAGCGGTAATTCCACCCTTGAATGATTTTTGAGACACAACTTGGTAGGAAGGCGGTCCCGAAAGTATTTGTCCGCACTTCTTCACATCGAGGCAACAGGGGGGCCATATGGGCATGCCGGTACGGACCACTTGTCCTTCCTTTCCAGGCCTGTATCTATTACGGCGACAGGCGATGTGCCCTTTGGCTCGATTTCTTTGCCTAACGGTATAGAAACTTGGTAGCCTGCTGTAACAACAACAACAAGCGTAGCTGTAGTCATAGTTTGGGATGAGCATGGTGAACGTCAAGGGCTGCTTTGGTATTGACTGGAATTTAGGGGTTTTACATGTTAAACTAGTGGCCCAAAGACTCAGGCATTTTCCGTTAACGGAAACCGCTGGACGAACAACTGGCGTAATCCTAACCTGGCCAAAGGGTTACACCTTTATTTCGTGAAATGTGAAAGCCGTTATAATTGAATCTGGCATACTTAGGCGCTGTTTGTTCAGCCTCTAATTTCGTTGGAAATTTAGTTCCATGCTGCAGGCATTCTCCGCCAGGTTACGCACAGTCGCGCTTGATCTTACACGCAAGATCTCAAAATCTTCACACGGCGTCACAGGATTAAATTTGCTTGCGCGGCGGTATCGGTCGACTTTATTGAGTGGCCACGCGAGGTGAGGATGACTGGGCACGCCCAAAAGAGTCAACACTGTATAGTCTTAACCAACTACTAGCAGCGTTCAGATTGCCTGGAGTTGATAAGAATCTCACACAATCTCACAGAAGCTGTCACCGACCTGGGCCCCGTTCAATCGCCATCTCCCTACAGAAGGCTGTTCCGTGGCTCGATCCTAGGGGGAGCCGGCGCGGGCACTGTGATGCTGTCTGACAGCACCTCTGTTTTCGCCAGCTCGCTGCACAGTCTGACTCCCGGTCAGCTGCTGAACGTCAAGGAAATGGGCTTGCTGGGATGGCTGCTGGTCGACCTGGGGATCAACTGGCTGGGCTGGGCGGTGGCTGCAGCGAAGAAGGTGGGAGGGGGCCGGGCGGCCTCGCGCTGTGGGCTATGCGAACTATCAGCGGTAATAGGCGGGTTCAGCGGCCCTCGTCACCTGCCCCTGGCCAGGGAAACGGGCTGCCCATAGATAGGTGGCCAAGGGCTGTCCACCGGGAGTAGCCAGGCAGGTTACCCGAAGAAGTCACGTGGACCCCGGCGAGACCCGGAGGTGAATGCGAGGACTCAAAAACAGGCGGGGGGTTGAGTTTACGATCTGGATTGTGGTGGCGATCGCGGGGTGAGGTGTGCGGGTACGTGCGGGGCTGTGCCGGGGGTTTAAGCTATGATTTCCCGCTCGACCCGTGTGCATGAGCGGGTGACCCGGCGGGGTCATGAAGGGGCTGATGTGCGGATCGGGACCGCCAGCTTCCCCTCCGGTGGCAATTGGGTAGGGTCCACACCATCAGCAGCACCGCACACCCCTAGTTTGGGAAGAGCTGCAGGCAAGGAGGAGCGTGTTCGGTTCGCGGGAAAGCGCTCCGGCTCCAGCGCTCCAGCAGGTACCACCTGTCATACCATGCTGAACACCCATTTCTTAGCCCTGATTGTGTACGGCACGCAATCCCTTTGTGAGCGACACCACCCGGGTCCTTCCTGTGCTCGTCCACGGTGTACCGCACAGTACGGTACCTTGGCCTCATCCGTTCTGCTGTATTGCAGTGCACTTTATCCC